AGGGGGCGAAGATCGACGCCAGTAAGAACGAGGAGGATGAAGGGTGAGTAAGGGGCGGCCCGGGAGAGTCAGGCCCAAGTAGTTCCCCCACCTCCTCCTTCCCTCCGCCATTAAGCCTCGTTCCCGCTTCTCCCCCGCCTGCCCACAGGCCCCGGTGCAGGCCCTGCACTCTCCCCGCTGCTGGCCGCGGGCTCCCGGCCTTCGTCTCCTTCGCCCGGCCTGCCGCCCCTCCCCCACCACACGCGTTTCCCCCTTAGCCGTCACCATGCTGCTCCCGGCCCGCCCTCCCGCGCCGCCCGTCTCCTCCCACCCAGTTACCCGCCGGGATTTTTTCCCGCCGTCGAGGCGTACTTTTTTTTTCTTCTTTCCTTAAAAAAAAAAAAATTCCCGTTTAACCTCCCCCTCGTTTTCTAGGCCCCGGCCATTTAAAAAAAAATGCGGACACTCATAAAAGGCTTTCTGCCTGTATTGCTAAGGATGAGCTGGCGCTTCGCACCATCCCGAGACGGTGCGATTTTTTAGAAGCACATGCTTTGGGGGCTGTCCCGAGCGCCCGCCACCGCCGCCCCCTCTCGCTCCGGCTCCAGGCCAGATGGATTTCTTTTTGCATTTTTGAAGTTTGGCTCTGTCGTACAACGCCTTAAGTGTCTAGGCCCCGCGATCGGGCCACGGACCAGATCGGGCCTGGTAAAATGCCTGGTGGCTCGCTCTGCAGGCTTTAGTGAAGTTTCTGGGCGGCGGGGCCCGCTCCTGACCGGCCTGCCCTGCCCCCACCCTGCTGTCTGTATTCTCCCCGCGCACCCTTTTCGCGCCCTCAGTTATTGGGCTCCCCAGACCCTAGTTTTGTTTGGTGCGTGTGTGGCCCCCGGTGACTAGGATCCATTTTGGTCCCGATTCTTCTCCTCGCTTTCTCAACCCACTGTAAGGCCTTCCCGCCCGCTTTTACAAAATGAATGAAAAGCACCCTATTGTGCTGAGAGATGTGGGGGTTTTTTGGGGTGTGTGTGTAGCTTTTTAAGTAATCATTCGCTTTCTCCATCCGGAGTAACACTTGCATATAATGCTGAAAGCTGCGTTTAGAATATTAAAATGCAGCATTTGGGAGTGAGACTGTAATACTGGAGTTAGTAGGAGCGACTTAATCGGGGTCTTTCTTGCGTGTTCTTAACAATTTCCAGTTACTGAAGTTGGCCTTGGGTTAACGCTTCTGCACCTATTTGTAACGGGGCAGAGAGTTGTCCCCCCCCCCCACCTCCACCACACTACCTAACCAGATAGATAGTGGTGGGAGGTAAAAGCAATGAAATGTCGCTCTAATCCAGTATTAGAAAACAGCTATATTCTTTGAAAAAGAGAGTACAAGATTTGGAGGGGGAGGAAGAAGCGTTTGAGAAGAGTTTTGGAAATAGGATTTAATAATCCCAGCCCTGGCAGGTTCTTGTCAGGCTGTTTTGCTGATTGTGCTGGTTTGGGGGTGGTGGGAAGGGAAGTGGAGGTGGGAGGGAAAACTAGTTTTTCTTGGTTAAACAAAACAACTAATCTTGAGTTTTGTGAAATTCAAGGAAGGAATATTTTAAATACCTGGGAACGAACGAACTTTTTTTTTTTTTTTAAGCATCTTGGGTTTTGTTTCCTAAATACTCTCCTTTGGTCAAAGGCACCAAAGTGATTAATTGTAAACAGTGGGGCACGTTTTCTATTAGCCCCAGTTATCAAGTCACAAAGCAGTTCCCTTTATAATTACCTACAATAGAACTGAAGTGTAAATGAAGTAAAGTTTTTAACCCTAGCAATGTGAAAAACTAAAACTAGAATTTTGATTGGTTGCTGTACCGGTTGTTAATTCCCTAGCCATTCAAACTCCTCCCCACGACACACTGAAGCAGCGGCGGCACAGCGGGAAGAATGGTAAAACTTTTAAATTTTATTTCTGTTTTGTAAAGGTTTCAATGGCCATAACATATAGAGGGTTTGTGTTAGTTGCCCATTAATCCCCAGGAAATTCTAGACATTAGAGCAGCAGGATGTTTTGTTCCTGGGATATCAAATCTGTTTAGGCTTAGTCTTTGTAATCTTTGGGCAAAATTGATACTATTATGGTTTTTTATCTGTGCTAATGCATGTAATTTCGGTTTGGCCAATTTAAGCTAAGTATAATTAATAATTTTTATGTGGGGAATGAAACATTACTACAATTTCAGTATTGACTTACATCAAAACTTTGTCGGAATTCTAATTTTAATGCTAAAAGGTACTTGATAAAACGTGCTTAACGTGTCTTGCATGTTATTATACTAAGATTAAAAATTCTGTAAATGAAAAAGTATTGTGTCAATGTTAGAAATAAGACCTTTGAAATGGTATGGTATAATGAAAACTTGTTTATCCTCAATCATTTGTAAATAAAACTAATAGCAATTGGAGGAGAGCTGGTGTGGCTTTCTACTACAGTTCTTTCAGATTGTTCCTTTTCAGGGTCATTTGGCCTGGTATATTAGTTCTATTAGGTTGACTACTATATATATATTGGAATATTAGGTTGACTAGTGTACACAATTGCATGACTCCTCTTGAAGGGGCTGGTAGGTTGAGTATTGTTTTTTTTTTGTCCCGCCCTAAATGTCCATTTTTCCACCTTTAGGAGCATATTTGAGTTTTCCAGGGGTTTGTATCCACCAGCACTGGAGTATGGAGGGCCACAGGTGAATAAGTAATTTGCAGATAGTTATTAATCCTAATGTAAACTACATTCTATCTTAAGAACCTAGTCAGAGTAAAATTTTAATCTTGAAAAATTTTACTTACTATTGTATTCTCATGGCAGTCTGTTCAGTGTTTTTGCTGGAAATACAGCAGACTAGATATAGGCATAGGGGAAAACAGGGAAGGGGGCACAGAGACTGGTCAGATTTTGACAAGATAAAATTAGATGAATTTAATCTATTTTACTATTGGGTGCTGTAGTGATGCAGTTTCACCAGTAGTTATGATGATAAACTAAATGAGCTTAAATTAAAACTATTTAAAAGCTATTACTATATATTTTATTATTAAATTGTAATTTCCTGTAATTTTGAATGCTCATAAACTTGGGTTTTTGAAGGTCATTGTTAAACTTTAGAATACTTAACAACCTACTTGATACTGTGTAATTTTATAGCTTTTTTGGAGGGTGACTTGATGTAAAGCAAACATAATTAATGAGCATGTTAAATGACGATTGACATCCACAGAAATTGTTTTTGCTGTTGTTCATTTGAGGTTAAGTATACTTAAAAACAATGTTCTCATTTGTGTAAGATCTATTACAGGTTTTCTAATGACTGCCTAAACACCCAGCCACATCATGTTCCCCTCAAGACCTTTAAATGTTTTTGGTGCTTCAGAACATGCTCCCATTCTGAATCGTAGCAGTTTAATAAAATGAGGGGTCTTCAAAAAGATCCCTGGAAAGGGTTGTATTCTCTTTTAGTTTCATTTTTTCCATGAGCTTTTTGAAATCTCAGTCATGAATAAGCCTGGTTGTGCTTTTTAAAAGAATTCTAACCTGAGAAAGTGAGTAAAGTTTTACCCTACAAATGTTTCACACATCAATTTATTAGATTTTTTCATGTAAGAGTGAACTAATTTTAGGAAGCGGGGGATGGTTCTATAGTTTAATGTAAGTATACCCCCTTTAATTTTTCCAGTTTAGCATTCATAGTTTTGCTTATAAGCATGGGTATTAACCCATTTGATTTCATAGTGCAGACTTGTTCTGTTCAGTAGTGTTTCTGCCCTTTGGGGGTAGGTACTTTAAAATTATTTTGTGTTTGGCAAATGAACGACATGCAATCTAACAAACTAGTGAGCAGAGGGTGTGTATAGAGAATTTAAAATATTAGATTAGTGGAGAACTAAACTATTTACTTTTACTTTTAGACACGGTTTTACATTGACTTGACTGAATTGTGTTAGAAAGGAAGGTAGGCCCATTTAATTAGCCAAAGAACAGCAATACTACATATGACAGTATAATTTTGGAACTGTCATTGTACAAATGTAATGGACCCACACGTGCTTTCAGTTTTTGTAATTTATATTCTAATGTTCATGGAGCAGTTCGAGTTCTCTAGGGCAATTCGTTTTTGCCAAACTTGATTTAGTAAAGGTGGGTGAAGAGTAAAGCTGAGACCATGAGAAGGGTCTTGGTTGTAGCATTCTCTGTAACTTTTAATAAGTTGCCAGTAGTAAACTATAGAAACCGCTCATGTAGGTCTTAGATGATGAACATGTAAGCCTTACATTGTAAGGGAAGAAGTTTAGTAAGACTTTTTTTTTCATGTTAAGACTATTTCAAATTCATATCTATCCTGAAAGATAAGAATATACTGGCCCTTTAGGTTTGTAAATGGAGAAAACTTACTAAGTTTTCTGAGGTACTTATGAGAAGGCTTCAAAAAATTAGTGGAAAAATCCCTTTTTCTCAAGAACCTTTTGTAGCCTCTTTGCATGCCTTAAACCTGGTGTTTTTCTCAAGCCATATGAATCATTTTGCATATTCATTTTTGATGTATGTTGTTAATACTGCCTAGACCTTCTGATGTCTCAGACCATACTAAGAACATTGAGTTAACAAATTTTGGATGACTAGTTGTAGGTTGCAGATGCTGGAACTTTCCCCCATTCCACTACAGGTTTTGCACTTCATATGTAATGTACATTCACAAATGGAGTAAAACATACCTTCTGTTAGTCCCAAGTTTGATTTGACTTTAGGCACGTTTTAATATTTTAGTAGCTAGGGCACTGAGCTGGATGTAGGAAGCATGGAATTTGTTTCTGTTACTTCTCTTTCAACAACAGTGTGGTCTCAGGTAATATAACATGTTTGTTAACTTGGTTTGTTGATTTATATGTGGGAAACAACGCTCATCATGGCAAGATTGACTACGTAGCCTGCTTTGATAGCTTGTGTGTGTTTATCAGGTACTCTAATAGTTGATGCTGTCTGTGATTTACTCCTGTGGAGTAAAGGTAAGCATGTTTCAGTCTCTGGAATATGACATATTGTACATTAGAGGTAGACATGTAAGAATATTTGCCAGAGGGTGGGGTGGGGGCTCATTATTTGCAAAGTTTCGCCAGTAATTTTAAGTCTGGAATTGTGCGCTGTAGAATCTTGCTTATCTAGATTTTAAACCATCACAAAGCCCAGATAGCGTAGAATTCCACTTAACACAGTCTTTACTACACCTAACACAACTTTTTAGTCCTGTTAAGTGAAATGACCCCCCCCCCAAAAAAATTGTCACCAAATATGAGGACTTCAAAAAGTTTGCGGGAAAAAGTTTGCGGGAAAAGTCCTTTCTTTTAGTTGCATTTCCCAAAAACTTATGAAAGTCCCCTTGCTGGCTAAAAAAAGCAGTATAACAGAGGATGTCGTGGAATGGATTGTCTATAATTTTCACTTAACGTTTATTGAAAAATATTGGGGTTTAAAGCGTTGCAGGAGCTAAAGTTTTGCAAAGGGATAAAAATTTGTAGTTTTAGACTTTAGCGCTAAATTGCTTTTCAATAAGAAACTGTTTGTAATTTTTAACCAGAACATTAACTGACAGATTGGTGAAACTCCATTCCCTAGCGCCTAGGTAACTCAAGTTTTACCTCATAAAACATTGAGTTTATTAAAGTAAAAATGAGAAAAGGTGTCATTGCTTCCTTATAATGAAACGTAGATGGGGAAATACTGGTTTAAGCACCTACAAGTTGATTCATTTAATAAACAAGACGCTATGGCTTAAACTTAGCTCACTCTTAGAGTAAATTAGGTTCATTTTAAAGTCTGGAGTAATGAGATTTAATATATTAGGCTAGAGGTATTAATTTTGCTTTGGAAATCTTATCCATTGCATATGTTAGTCTGGAATGAAAATAGGATTCCACAATTAACTTGAAAGTAGTGTCCTCTTTAATATATAAGAAAGTTTGTGGGGAGGGTAATTACTCTAGTGATGGGGAAATAATACTGGAATTTGAATTATGGGCTAAAGCAGCTTTTAAAAAACTATTGGCCATTTAATAGTTTCAAATAACTAAAAATTTTTGTTCATATTGTAGATGAAGTATTAAAAAACTTTTTTTTACCTGTTATTGGTATGTTTAAATGTCAACCTTATGTAATTTCTACACGTTTTAAAATCCCAGTCCTTGGTTGGTGTAAATAAGTTCTAAGCCACTAACCAAAATACTGGCCTTTTGAAACTACCCTTGGAAGGCAGGCATGGCCATCTGTTTCTGGAATGTAAAGACTTGAAAACTCGAGGGAACAGTTCTGTTCTGCACCATGGTTTCACCATGGGTCTGACTCCACTTCAGCTAACAACAGCACTCATGTGAAATTAAGTGAAAAGCAAATTCCAGTCTTGACCCTGATTATAGATGACTAGTGAAGTGAGCTAACGCTCAAAGACTGTAACTGAAGGAAATACACTGTTTTTTTAATTTGTTGGTAATATTTCATTATAGTTTATATCATTTTAGAATTTTAATATGAATAGTTGAAGCAATATCAAAAAGTATAAATATTACACGCATACGTCCCTTATAAAAGGTGACCGTGATTGGTCAATTATGGTAGATACCTGAAATGCGTTTATTGGGGTAACATTTTGTTGTAGTACTTAAACTGTCAGAACTTGCTATGAAACCATGATTAAGAGTTTGAGAAAGTGTTTCAGAGTTAAAGTATACTTTTTGTTTTTGATCTACATTCCAATTCCAAATGTGTGTGTTTTATCATTTTATCTTAAATAACAGGGCAATCATCCCTAAACCCTAGTGATATTAATTTTTAAAAAGCCCAATTCCAACTCAGTAGACCATAAAAAATACATTTCCTTGGTCGGAAGAAGCAGTCTTTAAATTGGTTCTTTTCTACCAACCAGTACTGTTCCATATGTATTTTTTCCATATTTTATGTTTTTTGAATTATTGCTTACTATTTCCATTAAGTACAATACAGATGATTCTTAAGTATAAATAAGTCTTCAAAATGAGCTTGGAAACTATATTTGAGAGACTTGGTAGCCTAATATCCAGTATTTATATATGTACATGGGTTATTTTAGCATTATATCTAGTTTATTTTAAACCCTTCACATTGAACAAAGTAATCTTTAGCTCTGTTTATAAAAATCTCTCCTTGATCCTTCCTCCTTAATGTTAGAAAATGTCATGTAACTCATCCATATAGCCTATTGACTTAAAAAAAAGAATAAATGAAAGCGTTGTTTGACAATATAACTTGTTGATTATTGTCAGGTGATTATGGTTATATTTTTTATTGAGCATTTAAGATGTGTCCTGCTCTGTTCTCTGCTCTTTTAATGCCATTTAATCCTCTGCAAGTAGTAGGATAAGCTATTCTTTGGAATTTGGTTTTTTATTCTCAAGATCTTACAGATAGTAAGTGGCAGAGCTGGGATTCAAACTGGCAATTTGGCTTAAATGCCCTCTATTAACCTTCCTTTCTCTAAAAGGTGACAAAGTAATGTCCCACAAAGCTGTCTAGATTCCTGAGTAGTACTGGATGGCTATTGAAATGTATAACTTACTGTTAACAGTAGTTAGGTAAGGCTAGTATTTTTTTTTTTTTTTTTGGTAAGGCTGGTATTTAAAAGCAAGGAGACTTCCATTATTGCTTAGGTGGTTGTAAGTGGAAGCCCTACATTTTAATGAGGAAAATTTGAATTACAACTAAGGGTCTAATATGCTTTAGGGTCCCATTTCTGGTGCTATTTGAGGAAAGTCTTCTGACAATTTTAACATGACTGTTCAGGATTTTTCTATTGGAAAACATGTACACCTCTTGCAGGGGTGACTTTGAAAGTCAGTCTTTGTGCTTAAGGACACAGGTAATTTGAATGGCATCCACAAATACTGTTTTTTCAGCATTCAGATGAAATATTTATATTGATACTATTTTATGCAATCTCATGATTTGAAGGGGTGCAGGTCAGAATACTGATGTTGTAGACAAGCTAAATAAGTTGCCATTTCACCAGAATCTAGATGAACAGGCATGATTCACAGCTACTTGTGTGGGTTACATTTTGGTAATCCTGCTAATTAGAGATGTGGATTTAATACATCCCATTTAGAAAGATAGTACAGAGTTGATAGTTTACCTGTGAATATCAGTTGTGGGGCAAATTTTATTAGAGAATGAAATAAAGCCATAGGATTTGGGGACTGCCAAAATAGATGTTAATTTATTCTAAAACAATAGCACTAAGTCTCTTGCCTAGAGATCATGCTTTTTCTTGACACATTGAGAAAGTTTAAAAGGGCAGCATGTGCCCCAAAGTAAAGGTAGAAGACTGAGAAGGGAGTAATAACCCTGATTATGGGAAATCCAGGGAGGAAATGAGGAAACCTGACAGATTGTAGGATTGCAACCAAAGTCTCAGTAATTTGGATGTGAATTGAATGGGAAACTAACTTCCTATGTAAGTTTACAAATGAAACACTAAGGTGGGGGCGGGATTTGCATTAATTAATTGCTCTGAATTCACATCAATGAAGTACATTCTGAAGTAGCATAATGTATCAGTGATGATTGACCCCCATAGTGTTAGATCATGATTATTAAGTAGTAAAAGTTAATCATGAAGTGGGCTATGGAAGGCAAGCAGTACTTTTAAGGAAGGTGGAACTTCCAGCTCTGAAATAATTAGTTCTTTGTTCTCTGTAAAGATGCAGAATAGCTGATACTTTACTATAGATTTTATTCCAGTTATTTCAGAGCCTGTTAACTTATGGGTTTTATATATTTATATATGCATATATACACATGTATATGTAATTGACCAGGATATTTAATATGTAGATAAATCAGGAAGGATAGCATTTTTGGTAAACCTTTTTAACTCTTAAGATTGGCATATGCAACATTTTAAGGTAAAAATGAAATAGACTATTAAAGGTGAGAGTTGTTAAAGCACTTTACTTAGTGCCAGCATGCTTATCTAATATTTACAAAATCTGGTATAACCTATGCTGGGGAAAACACTTGAGGCTTGTGAATAATAGTTTAGATATGCCTCATTCTCTGTGTTATAGTACTTTCACAAAATAAACATGGCTTTGGTTAAATAACAGTTCTGGGGAACAGATCAGACACAATTTTCAACTTTTAACTTTTTAAAATATGGCCTTAGTTATTTTGATTGGGCTAAAATAATTTCAGACCATCTTTGCTCAATTATTTATTTGAAAATTTTCTGTGATCAGAGATGTAATTTTATAACTTAAGTCTCAGTGGAAGTGGCTTCTATACTAGAACTTCTCATGGATATTGAGCACTCGAAGCCAATGCTTTATTGTAGTCATTTTTATTTCTGGTCTTTAAAAATACCAGTGGGCTCTTCACCTTTAAAGAGTAAATATTAGTAATGAACTTTTATCTGTAATGAAAAATATTCTTTGCCTTTAGATTAAAAGTTAGCTATATAAAGAAACATTAATATGGAATGAATATTTAGAAAGTGCTTTATTTGAATAAAAAGCATGTATTATGGAGAAAACAACCCATATCCCACAACATTGACAGTAAACATTAAAATAAACCTGCGTAGCATTATGGATGTATCGAATATAAAATAAAAACATGAAAATTTTACTTGAAAATTAAGTTTTTAAAATGGCACAGGTTAAGAATGCCTGTCCAAGTTGAAAATGTAACCTGAAATGGGAAGCAAAGAATATACCTAAAGTAATTCTTTGTCAATTTAAAGTACTGTTGTCATTAGAAGCAAAAACAAACTATAAAAAGATCAGTAACATGGCATTTGTGGGGAGAAGACTTAATTCCAGGACTGTTCTTTGGCTTATTGTAAGAGTGGGTATTAATGGCAATATCTTTAAATCCCACAAGATGGAGTAGTTCCCTAATGAAAGAAAGACTTTAATTTCTTTCTGGGAACTGGAAGTTAATACCAGCTCCTTCTCCTCAGATGAGATCCACCTCCCAGTTATGAAAATGAGAAAAAATGGAACAGGAATTTTATCATGGTGAACTTTTTCTTTAACTCAACAATTTCTGACAGTTTACCTTTGAAATTAAATTCTAAATCTGTCTCTTAAATTAAAAAGGTAGAATATATATATATATGTGTGTGTACATATATGTATGTCTTTCTTTTTTTTGGTAGGGGCCAGGCAGGATATAAAAAGCATTAAAAGAACTCGGATCTTAGCTATATGACTTGTTGCCACAAGTAATGATGATAAATAATAATTTACGTAATATTTCACCTTAAACTTTTTGTTTTTACTATGTACCTTTGGTCTTAGTTGCCACTCACTGCGAAGCCTATATGAAGCTAAAATTCTATATTTTGCTCCCGGTAACATTTAACTTATAATTTGAGAAAAACTTAAAATGAATGTCCAGCATTTGTACTTTGACAACATGTTATAAAAGTTAGCCTGTTGAAAGACTTATTATACTGCTCGCTTACTCTTCTCTACTGCAAGAGCAGCAGTGATATGTAAAACATTTTGGAATAGGATACTTCGGATGTGTGGTTATATAGGAAGAGTGACATTTTAATATGCTGCCCAGTTTTAAAAATGGTGCAGTTTTGAGGTGTGTTACTGATTTGGATAATATATAAGGCAAAGTTTTAATTTATTTTTAGCATTTTAATATTGCTTTTTGTCTTTGCAGGAAAATGTTTATAGGAGGCCTTAGCTGGGACACTACAAAGAAAGATCTGAAGGACTACTTCTCCAAATTTGGTGAAGTTGTAGACTGCACTCTGAAGTTAGATCCTATCACAGGGCGATCAAGGGGTTTTGGCTTTGTGCTATTTAAAGAGTCGGAGAGTGTAGATAAGGTAGTGTTTTATATATGTGTTTTGCTAAATCAGTAATACTTTAATATGTAATACAGTAAAAATGTGTGAAAGTTGGAACCTGTGTATATTGGAAAAGTGTCAGAGGAGAATAAGTATTTCTCCCTAAATGAGTGCTAGAAAGTGGTAACACTACACATCCTGTCAAAAGGAAGAACATTTTCATGACCATGATAAACGGAACAGTTCCATCGAGTTCCAGCTCTCACAGGTTTCACTGTATAAGGGGAGTTCAACAAGTTTGTGGAAAGAGAAGAATTTTTCCATAACCTTTTGAAACCCATTGGTATAACATATTGAAATGTGGATGGGTTGGTAACAGTGGATTTGCCCATTTTTTATGGTTCCCCTTCTGCAAGTCTAGGAAGGAAAAGCTTTATTAACCATAGACAGTTTTTATGATGGAAAAGTTGGACTCAAAAATTGTTTACTGAATATTGTTAGTGCAAGGCCTGGATGAATGAAAACTTATAAAAGCTTAGTTTAAAAGAAAGTGCTCTGGCAAATTCACAGAAAGACAGTGGAATTTGTAGGCGAGAAACTTAACCTGATCATTTTGGTCCTGGTTAAGGGAAGGTACCAACCACATTTGTGCAGCTGATGGACATCTTATAAGGCTCCTTAGTGGTGCAATGGTTAAGTGTATGGCTGCTTCCTGAATGGCTTACAGGTCAAACTTCCCAGTTACTGTGCCAGGAGAAAAATCTGGCAATGTGTTCTGTAGACATCACTAGCCTAAGAAACCCTGTGGAGGAAGTTGTATCTTCTCTGATTGCTCTGAGTCATAATTCACTTAATGGCAGAGTTTTCTGGGGTTGTGGTTATCTGAGCTCATTAGTTGTAAAGTTTGTGCTTGCCTCCTTTACGATCTGAACAACCTCAGATTTAGACACTGGTATATGTTAGTTCCTGTTATGCAAATAGTTAAAAGCATGATTAAGCGAAAAGTTGATATGAATTTCTCCAGAAACACCACTGAAGAGAGACTTGGTGATCTATTTCAGAAAGCCCATAGCCATAGAAAACCATGTGGCATGCAGTTCTACTCTGACACACACAGGGTATGCTGCCCCAAGTCAGAATTGGCAAGTGGTTTGGTGTTTGGTTTTATGTATTGGCCCACGTCATATCACCACATGACAGTTTAATTTTGAGTCAGTCATTATATACCTGGTATAATCTGTACTTAACTAATAATTTTTAAGTAAGTTTTCTGTGAACTCTAGTTAAGAAAAGCATTTAAAATGAAAAACTTCAATTTCTTTAGGTCATGGATCAGAAAGAACATAAATTGAATGGGAAAGTGATTGACCCTAAAAGGGCCAAAGCCATGAAAACAAAAGAACCTGTTAAAAAAATTTTTGTTGGTGGCCTTTCTCCAGATACACCTGAAGAGAAAATAAGGGAGTACTTTGGTGGTTTTGGTGAGGTATGTGTTAATGTTTTGATCTGGTTTATATCAAAATTAGTGTGAATGTAATTGTCAAATTACATAGACTAAAATTTGTGGGTTTTTCAAAGCTGTTGAAAGTTTGAGCAGTTTATCTTTGAATAAGGAATATTGTGAATACTTGATTAATAGATGCCTTCTCATTGAGCATC